TAAATTATATAAAGCATCACCTATATATGAAACTGACTTTAAGAAAAGAAAGAAATGTTCACCAAAACTTACGTTCAACAAAACCAATATTACTTCGAAGTACATGCACAATATTTTCTCTTAACAACTGTTGTAATTTTTCTATGGGCTCTTTGTCAGTTCTCATATGTAGTAATGAATCAAACACATTACAATAAGCAAACATACAGAAAATAGTTGCATCCATATAGCATGAATTTGAATCACCTTCAATGCCTTTATTTACACCAAGTACTGGCTGATTAAGTGGAGGTAAATTTTCTTTGATACAGCGTAATTGTTCAATTTTTTTCCGACCTTGTAAACGTTCTTTTTCTAACTGTTGTTGTCCAAGCGCGTTATAGACAGAATTTACCGAAGCATAAAAGCCACGATTTTTGTTTAGTGCAATATGTTTTTTACCACATTTCGGACATAAATCACTATAGCCTGTTATGGATTTTTCACATTCAAGTGCAAATAACTGATGTTCTCCACATGTAATATAACCTCTGATGACGTATGAGTCTTTGCCGAATTGGACAGTTTTGCCGATCACGTCATCAGTGTTGATATTGATGCCAGTTGTTGGTTGATTTCTGGAATTAACAGAAGTACCTGTACAAAAACATCAGAATATTCAATGATAGAATCATAATAATATTTAAGAATTACTGCGATTGTAATCGGAACGTTCAGAACGAGTTTGATCATTCGATGCTACAGTTGAATTATTGCTACTAGGATTATCTGGTTTATAAAAGGATGGCGTGGCTATTTACAAAGAAAATGTAAGGATGCGTGTAGGGATGGGGTGAGAATTCGTTTTTACACTCACCTACATCTCACATTCATAGCACTATATATATTCTGCGTAACTTTCTGTATTGTTTTGCAGGTAAAACGCCTATTTTGCCTTTTACTGAGTAAATTAGTATTCTACCTTAATAGATAAGTTACCAGAGACCAAACCAAACCTACTTTTACTGGTTTGGATTCTATTCGATTCATTTTCAGCCCATGATAGATGTTGCAATTTCCTCTTAATTTATTCTAAACTCAAATTCCTGCTAATTTAAATTTTTTAGAATTTATTTCAATTGATTCAATGAATTGTTGTAAATCTAAATTTCCTAAGCCAATTGTTAAAATACGTGACTTTAGAAAAACAGATCAGAAATAAGAAGAGAAACTGGTATTATACGTTGAAATCCGATCATCGCCCAGGAAGATTTGGTAAAAAATCAGCCGTCCTCTACTCCTGTTCTTTTCTAAAGATTCTAAAAAAACCTCAGAAACATATCTTTGATAGCCGATTTGAGAGATAAAAAGCTTCTTTTATTCCTATAAATAATCATATAAGTTTAAATTTAACTCGAATTAATTAAAATGAAACTTGAACTACTCTTTAAACACATTTAAATGTAACTTAGAGCTATTTAAATTTCTTCTAAACTTATGTAAACTCAATTTAAATTTAAGATAGGTTTAAATTTTTTTACAGAATATTCTTAAATTTAATTTGAATTAAACTCTTTAACAGTTGACTTGTGAGTTTAATAAATTTTTGTAAATGTAGCTTGATGACTCCTGGTCTCTGATATGAAACGATCAAGCAAACGTCGTTTGATAATCACCAACAGCATCGCAATTTCACAAAGAATATTATAGGTCAATCAATCATTTTTCTTATGTATTTGTCTACATTCACTTGCTTTTCAACGGTTAGTAAGCACGGTTCAGTTCGACGTCGTTTTTTGAGAAGTGCTTCAAGGTTGGTTTCAGTTCAAGTGCATTTCAAAAAAAACGGCTTGGGTTTCGGGTTCGGTTCGTTTTCTGTCTCTGTAAGCTACTTCTTGTACTCACTTGACAACAAGGATAGATATCGGACTAAGAATATAATTCAAATATATGTCTCTTGCCTCTATATTTGTTTGATTTGAAGAGTTTATCAGAAAAAGAAGAACACTGCTATAACTTAATGAAGCAAATTGGATTAAAAACTACTCAAGTTTGCTCATTAAGAGTTGATTATAAATTTTTTTTCATTACTTAGCCAATTCGTAACGTTGTTATCTTCTTGAGGACGTACAGAATTGCTATGAGCAACACACACTAACGAATAGCGAAAAAAGATTCATACGTCTTTCTGTGCTGAAAACGGTTTTCAGAGTATTTTGAGAATAAATAACAATAAAGAGTCAACAAAACACGAGAAATATTTTCAGAAGAGTTAAGAAATAGTAAGACTTCATTTTTGAATACTGCTACTTACCACAACTTAATTCAGATATTTAGTTGACCATACAAACATGTTATAATATTGCGAAGAGCTTCCGAGACAACATTTTCAATGAATGTTTCTACACGATGCATTATTTTGTTCAACTATTACATTTTAATTCAAGGTAAAATATTTTGAACTGGTTCTTTTAACATAATAAATAACCTAACTTCTGAATAATTCTTATTGAAAAGGTTTTGTTCAACTATTTTATTTACAGAAAAGAAAAATATTTAACAGGTTGATAGATATGATGATACCAAAGACGAATAAACTCTAGAACTGCTTTGATAATACGGTTGTATATTATTAGATGAGGGTTTGGAGACAGGCAAATCTAAAAAAATTTAGTTTCATCAAATGACTCTTAATAACGTATGGTGTGATGCGCTATCAAAATCAATGATTCAGTTTAAACATTCTTCTCTTATTTTATCTACATTTACTAGAAGGGTTCGTTCTTATGGGTCTCTGAACCTAATTTATGGCCGTTTTAATGAATTTTCGGCACATTTTTAGATATTTACTCAAATACCAAACAATGAAATGTCCGCCTAAAATTCAGCCGATAGACAGTTCTAATGACTTCAAGAATAAGCTGAAAGTTTCAGCTGAAGAGTGTTTTTCTGTCAAGATATTAAATCTTCAACTCGATTTTTATGGCATATTTGTAAGCAGCAATTTCAATACCCTGACAAATGAACATTCTTTTTCAGAAACCTTCGGGATATTCTAGAAGGTCATTGGACCTATCTATGAGCAAAATTACAGATCGAAGTTTCGTTATTTGATTTTTTCAGGAAATAACAAAAGATAGGTCGACAATTCAGTAAAATAGTCACAGCTTGGCATTAGAGGCTCATGGCGACGATCTCTTATAGGCTTTTCTTGTTTTATCAAGATTTTCTGATAGTCTCAATGTGAATTCAAACGGTGAGTTACAATTCGAGCAGTTCCCTCGTCCATGAAACCCTTTAGAACATACTCGGTCTCGGTGCCGACGTTGTAGTTTGGTATAATTGATCTTGGAAAAGTTGTTTTAGTTGATCAAATGTTGGTCGTTGATTAGGTAATTTACTCCATGTTTTAGTAATAATATCCCAATACTGAGGACTACAATTCGCTGGCTTAGGTAGTATATCCCCATTTCTAACTCGTCGAACGACATCATCATCTTTTTCGATATTAGTCCAAGGTATAGCACCTCGAGAATATGCTTCCCACATTAATATACCCATGGAATAAACATCCGATTTTTCTGTATAATCATTCGCTGTTACATTTGTTGACAGTATTTCTGGTGCACAATATCGTTTGGGAATAATGTTTAATGTTGTCTTTCCTACAGCTGTAGTTTGACTATAAATTTTACTATAACGACTAAGCCCAAAATCTGTTACTTTGACCACAATATTTCTTGGATTCTTCTCGTCAAAACGAAACACAAGTACATTACGACATGCTAAATCACCATGAACAACATTATTTAATGATAAATAACTCATTGCATCGATGACTTGACAAAATATCTCAATCAAAATTTTCTCATCAAGTGCCTTTTTTCGCTCGGTTAGAAGTTCATAAAGACTTCCTTCAGATGCATATTCTTGTAATAACATAATAGAATTTCTGTCACCATCGTCTTCCTGTACCAGACCAAATGTTCGAACAATATGTGGATGACGACTAAGATTAACATAGAACGAGGCTTCTTTATTGGCTCGTGCACCATCAATTTTTAATAATATTATCTCTGGATGGCCATCATTGCTTGGTAACCATTCTGCAGAATAGATGGTTTTTCCAAATGTTTGAAACAACGGTCGACCTTTTTTCTTTTTCACGTCCACATCGAGAGTATATTGAAAATTTTTGCTATCTAATGAACTTTCAAAATGGTCGATCATTTTTTTCATTGCATAATTTGGAATTAAGTGTTCTAATGATATCTGTTGATCTGTAATTGGACTTCTACCATTTTTTCGTATCCATTCTTCAATAGCTTTCCTCTCGTATGTATGACCATCTTGTGCCACGACGGGATCACAAAATAGTTCTAATGTGATAGGACATAATAGTGCATCCTCCGGTGCTTTCATTAGCTGTCTTAGAATGTTGATGTTCAATCAAATATAACGGATCAACGAGACAAGTAACGAAAAATGCGAATATTTTACGTGTAAAAAGCACACTTTTCAAAATTTTATAGAAAATGTTGTACGGGTGAGACAAGCATGTTGATGAAAATTGATGATTGCAAACTTCTTTTTTCGTTAAAAAAAAATTTTTTTAACCTGTACGAATGAAGAAAAAATGAGTAATTGACATGAGTGAGAACTCTATTTTCAATTTTTCATTGACGAACAGCACAGAAAAGAAAATGTTTTTTTTCATCATTGTGTCTTTTCGGCTTCTTCTATCGAAAATCATGAAATTTCGTTACCTATATGGTGAAAAATAAACGGAATTCAATAGTATTGAGTGTATCTATTAAAGTTATTAGAATATTCTACTTAGAATTCTGTGTCATACATATACACCCAACTAGAATAATATTCGTCTTAAATAACTACTGTCAACTGTTGATAACGAAGAGCATGCTAAAGAATGGCTAAACTCATCAAGAACAAGAAATCTTTCGTGATTAGAATCCGTTGAGTTGGTTTCGAATACGAACTTTATCGTATCTTGGTAGGAAATTGTTCTGTTAAAAATGCGTAGAGTGCGCCAGTCACCGAGTACAAAAAAACGAAACGCCCGATCTCTTCGAGTTGACTATCAAATTCCGATTGAAAAAATTAATTAATAGTATCAAAGTACGGTTCGAAAATTTCGAACTCGATGGACTCTACTCGTGACAAGCTATTAAAAGTTGTAACACTACATTTTTATTATATTCACAAAATATCTTTTCTAGCTAAACTTTTATAATGTTTATTAATTATAACGGCACATTGCATTGCAAATGAATATCTAAAAAACTGATCTCATATAAACGGCTACCATGGAAAAAGTTGTTTATTTTTACTATTTTCAAATTTTGAATAAATGAATAGCAAAAACAGTGCTGAAACTATCCCTAACAGACATACATATAATAACTAGATGAAATTTACAGTATTCTAATACGGTATTTATAGATGGCTCATGCACTAGAAGACTTTATACTTCATATAATAGATTGCATCAGCCATAAAGGTATCAAAATGCGATCAACTGGTTGGAGAGATGAGTTTCATCGGAGTACATAGTCAACAGGTGTCATACGACTACAATAAAAGTCAAGACTGCTTGTCAATATTTTAATGTGAGCACAAAAACAAAAAAAAACGACATTATTTCAAAAGCAGCGAAAAGATATTCAAGACGAAGAAGAACATCGAAAATTTTCTTGTAGTATTCTATTTTATTTATCGCATCAAAGTATAATCTAAGTGAACCTAATTGAATTCAAAAGTATTAACAATTAAATAGATTTAAGTAATGCTTACCACTAATAGAATTACTGAAAAGTCTCTGACCAATAACTATTTCAAGCAACCTACAGAATAATTTCAGAACATTTTTTTAAGTTGAAAAAGAACTTTTATCAACGCAAATTGTTCTTATAGATTGAAACATAAAACTCAATGAAAATGAATATTTTATTGTTGTCTTTCTACTTTAAAACTCGTTATGAATCGACCAAGGACAATATGCTCGTGAATCATGTCTTTGGTGAAAAAGATAGAGTTTGTATGTTAAAAGAAATATATACATATATATAGATGTAGTACAAATGAGAAATCTAAAGCAAAAATGCAAATACTCGACATGCAGATTGAATGTTTTAAATACGTTTTTGAGCAATATTTTCTGATACTGCATTTCTGTACGTCAACAATTTGCAAATTTGAGACATTTTTTAGCATAATTGAATAGAGCTTGTTGAATGACCTATAGATATGTTGTTTTTGACATACGCAGACAATGTTTTGACAAATTTGTTTCAACAAAATCAGAAAATCTTATAAAAATTGAAATGCACCAAAAGCATAAAATCTCAATATTTATCCGATACTTTTTTAAAAATTGTAATCATCATATAGTTGGGAAAAAAATTATCCATGCTTTCTGAAAAATATTGTTTGATTATCAAGAAAATAGATTTTTCTGCTGATACCATAACTAAAAAGCTATAAATATAGGTTGGTATTCTAAGATTTTGATCATCAGAACTTCAGTTTCGAAAGAAATGAATATTATATTCAGAATCAATGCAAAAATTTTCATTGAATACTACATTCAATACTCAAAACTAATTTTCGTCAAATTTCGACCTTGGGTATAAGGACACACATTTGACGACAATTAGTTTTGAGTATTGAGTATACTATTCGAAACAAATTCTGTACTAATCGTCAATATAATACTGGCTTTTTTTTTGGAACTGAAGTTCTGATGATGAAAATCTGAGAAGACGAATTCACATTTATGGATTTTGTGCTGTAATGTCGAAAAAAATTCGATTTTTTCAACAAACAAATAATATTTTTTATAACTGCCGCTCCATTCTTTCTTATAAATAGACGACGAATAAAATTCAAAGGAATATTCAGATAAATATTGAGACTTATTATTTTAGGTTTTTTCAATTTTTGCAAGGCTTCGCTGATTTTTGTTGACCTAATTTTGCTAAAACATCGTCTGAATATATTAAAAACAACATTTTTCTAGATAATTCGATGAGCTCTATCTAACTAAGACAAAAAAAGAATTTTGTTCAAATTTCGAATTGCTAGTAGCTTATCTTTGTTTTAGGTTTCTCTTTATATTATGGACTTCTGCTTTTGTGCTACATAAATATATGCATATAAGTTTCTCTTCATGCCCAACTTCAAAATTCTTTTACAATTTACTATAAAGCAAAACATCTGTATTTGATCATTCAATGATCGAATCTCTATTTTTTTTTTTATTTAAATAGATTTTCTATAGCATCGGTCATATATTTATTCTCCAATTAAAAAGATAAAATTATAAATGCGATAGTCTCAGTCACGCACATATATATATATGTATATCATGATCAAAACACAATTTACATTCGTCGTTGTACAATAGCGAAACCAACAAGATACAGTTCAATTGGATATTCATTACTAAATAAACGTAAATCATATATCGATAACCATGGTGTTCGTTGGGTATAATCTGCAAAAATTTTATTTAATATTTGTCCATCACGAAAACGTACACTATTTAATGATGACATCTCCGGTGTATGTGGTGGTGATAATTCAATAATAATCTTTTGGAAATTAATAAGTTCAATAACATATATAAGCATATTTTGTTGATATATACGTCCATCAATCCATCGACCTAGAAGTGAATTAAGTATACGAAAATTAAAAATTCGATTTGATCCAAGAAATGCATCAATATGTGCAACAATAATAAAATCATCAAGAGGTAAAATAGATTTAATTGTTGCCGCATATGACAATGAATATTGTGTTTCAATACGATAAATTAGTTGATATTCATCATTTGTAAATACAGAGAATGAATTATATTGATATGATGCACGAAAATCTCGTTTAATAACATACTGTTGACCATTGATAATGCTTATGATTATTATTAAACAGACAACTCGTAGAACAATCGACATTTTTCATTAATATTACTTATAGTATGATAGGAACAACTTCTAAATTTTAGTTTTTGTTTCTTTCAGACAATGATTCTTTTTTTTTCTCTTTCTTTATTATTGATTGACATTAACAAACAAACTCGAGCGATCAGATATCGTAAAACACTGTTGATTGATAAGTTTTCTATTTTTTTTTTGTTCTAAATAAATATAAATACTATGAAATATGGCAGTAGTATAACTTTGAAATAAATCCTATAATATATTTGATAACGATATGAAAACAAAAAGAAAAATATGAACAAATATTTGTACTGAAATAATGAAAAGTATACTAAATGGATAATTTTCTTTTTGAAGTATATACTTTTTTGGAACACTAAATAAAGAACTCGACAGATATTCAACAATCACCGTCTTGAAGTAAAATTTTCTTTTTTATTACTTAAGTATTACTCGAACTTCTATTAAATAAATAAAAAAAAGTATTTTTCTTTTTAATCTCTTCTGTTCTATTTTTGATTCTATTTACGTTGAGATTATATAAATAGAAGCAAGGTAGTTTCGGGCTTTTTTTTTGTACTTACTTCCTAATAATAAGTCGTTTAGTTTTATTATTATTTATCAAATAGGATTTTTTCTTTTCAATTTGTGTAGCTATATTATTGAAGCCATAAAAAAATGCGTTTAGGTAATAAAATGATTGATGTAGTGTAGATTGTCGATCTGTCAAGAGAATAACAACAATCCACTCTATCTATGTGGAAAGTTTATTTCATTAAGATGAATGAGAAAGAGAATAGTTTCATGTCAACTTCTTTATAAAAATTAGTGCTTTTGAATCTTTGGTTAAAGTCATTCACAACTATATATAATCATTTGCAAAGAATAACAAAACTTAAATTCTACTTATTCATAATATGCTATAATTAACATAGTTATATGTCGTTGAATTTCTTCGTGTATTATTTTTTTTTCTCACATCTATCTAAATAAATGAACCATCGCCCATTGTACATATAACCTTTTCTGTTCTTTTTTTCATCTTTTGTCTAGTGTAGAAACAAAATAAAATGAGAATTATGTTGAATAGAAATGATACACACGCTTATTTTAAGCGTTGTCGTTGTCTTTCTTTGTCATTTCAACTCATAGGATAATGCACACATACACACACACACACATAGAAACAGCGAAATACAACACGCACAATGCAATGAACGTGAAAGACCCATGGTGCAAAAGACACGCCTTTTGTGCAAATAGAACATACAAAAAAGAAAAAGACGAAAAGACAAAAAAGAAAAGAAAAGAAATCGCTGTACATAAAGATTGAAGAAGAAAATGAAAATTGATTGATGCTTTGACATGATCGATTAGTTAGAGTTTTTCTTTTTTTTTTCTTCTTTTTTTCTTTCTTTAAATGCTTGAAGCATTGTGCCTCAACAAAACAAGAGGAAAAAAAAATTTCCAAAAACACAAACAAAAAAAAAAAACATATGAGGAAAAAACAAATCGATCGACAAGTTCCGGAAAAGAATAGAACACACAAAAAAAAAATGATCCATGTCATCACCGAGACGGATGTAATGAAGATGAATGATGATACTGTCCGCCATTAGTTGTACGATTATTATTTATTGAATAATCAACTAAATCCATTGGTTTTATCGTTGTTGTTGATGATAGATGAAGTAAATTTTCATTCGGTGATGTTAAGGTATTAATGATTGGTGTTGGAAATTTTGTTTCATTTGTATGATAATGATATAAATTTGTTGTTGATGATGATGATGATGATTTTGTTGTTGATGAACGACGTGAATCAAGAATATTTTTTACAGTTGAATCACTGGTACCATTAGATGATGGACAAATATTATTATTACTGTTCAAACTAAAATTAACAAAAAAATACATAAGTTCTTTCTTTTCATTTTTAAATAAAATTACCGATTCGGTGTTGTTGATAAATCTTTATTATTTGATACTGTTGTTTGTGGTTGTATAAATGAACCGAATTGTTGAAAAAGCATTTGTGCTGTCCATGATGAATTTGAATTATTTAAACCATTATTTGTTGAAAGAAATGATGATGATGGATGTAAATTATTTCCATTTTCATCAATTTTTCCATTTGTTGCTGTTAATAAATTAATTGTTGATGGTTGTGGAAGAATTTGTTCATTTGGTGTGAGATCTTCATCAGATATATCAGAATATGCTGGTGAAGATGATATCGGTGGTGGTGTTGGAATCTTTGTATGTATTATATTTTGTTCTTTTTTTATATTTAAATCAAGATAAGAATTTTTATTCACATTTACTTCATCTTTTATATGTAATAGAAAATGATCTGCTTGTTTAACAGAAGTTTTTAAATCATCGTGATCATTTCTATTTTGATTATCGACTAAAGTTGTTTCATTATTATTTAATTTACATCTAGAAAAATAAAATCTTTTTTTTAATTTGTTTATTATTACAAAAAAAAAAGAAAAAGAAAACAAACCTAGGAGAATTCGGTGATAAAATTCGTTCGGCATTATTTAATGATGCTGATAGAACAAGTTTCGATGATATTTGTGGACATGGCCAAGATAATGATGAATTTTCTATTGTTTTTAAATTTGATGATGACATATGATGTTCAGGTGAACAACGTTTTGATGACGGTGGTGATGAACGACGTACGTAATCAGCAACATTAGCAAGAATATGTGCAACATCTTCTTCATCACGTGTATTTGCTTGTGGAATCGTAGGTGTTATTACATCAGTTTTTTTATGTGCATCACTTAAATGATAACTAAGTGCAATATTTGAAGCAAAGCGTTTATGGCAATGAGATTCTGAACATGAGATTAATTGTGGTTCGAGATTCGATGATAGAGTAGTCGTTGCTGTTGTTGTTGGTGATGGTGTTTCTGATGCAAAAAATGTCTGTTGATTATTTGTTCGATATGGTGATGTTAATGGTGATGAATTATTAATTATTTCATCATTTATTGATGTTGAAATATTATTTAGACGTTTTGATTGTCGAGATTTAATATTATTACGAAGTTTACGTTCATCAAGTCCTGTTGAAAGATTATTTGATGATATTTGTTGACATAATGATACTGATTGTTGTTGCGGATTTGAACATCGAGTATTACCACCGGCACCAGCTGTACGTTTTGTTCGACTAGTTTTACTACTACTACGAGCGTCATAATCACTTGTTGGTGATTCACATGTTAATCTAATTTATTTAAACAGAAAAGAAAACATTTTTTTTCCTTTTTTTCCCTTCTTTTGCTTTTACCTCGGGCAAGCCCAATCTTGTTTAGTTGAATCGAGTAATGTGCCAACATAAGTTTTTCCTCGCCATGTTACATTAACAACGAGTACACCTGAAAAGTACAAGTCATAATTCCGTTATTAACAAGGTTAAATCGTACGGCATATACGTATGTATATATATATATATATATATATGAATGTAAATAACTAATAAAGCAAAAGGAAAAAGGTGCTTCATCTTTTTTTCTCTTCGTTCTTCTTTTGCACAAGTACTGCCGATGAATAATTAATTTCATATTTTATATATACAACTATTACTTAAGTGAAAAAATAGAAATGACTTCATGCATATCATCAAAAAAACAACAACAATATCTGTTCATTATCATAGTCAGATTATGCATAAACAACGTATTCTGTTCTTTGTTTAATAATAATAAACTTCATAAGTTCTATTCTATTATTATTAATATTAACAAAAGAACATCAACATCTGTTTGGTCTGATTATTTATAGTAGATGTGTCATCACCTAAGCGCTCATGGATGTCATTAATATTATAACGTACTACTAGGTTTTTTTTATTTGATTACTATTATTGCTTACCGCTGTCGGTTTCATTCCAAACGATGCCCTCCAAAACGACGCTTGTACCCTAACAGAAAAGAAAAGAAAAGAAAAAAAAAAGGAATATATTATTGAGAGGAAATGAGATTTAACGAAAAACAACATACGGGCTCACAAGGACCGAGATGATCAGGTTCAGTTGCCAAACCAATAGAGACTGTTTCGACACAGGCATCTACTTTGCTTGAAGACAAATGCTTAATAAAACAAGCAAAAGAAACATATAATAATAACGTTTTCTTGTTAATATATATATATATAAAAGATCAATTTCATCAGCAGACGCTGAGTAAATAAAAAAAAAGAAAGAAAAATGCAGAATGAAAATAACTACTATGAAATCTCAAAGAATGAAATTAAAAACTTAACTTACATTTGAATCATCTCGTTTAAAACGTTTTGTTAAAGAAATATCATCAATATTTCCCGTTAAATCATTATTATTATTATCAATTGTTACAGAACGTTTTGTTGCCTGTTGTTGTTGTTGCTGTTGTTGTTTACCATTAAATGCAGGTGATGATGGTCGACGAGTAGCTGTTGTATTCGTTATAGAAGTACGTTTAAAACGTTGATTATTCGTTGTCGAACGAGAATTATTATCGTCTTCCAACATATGTGATGAAGTAGAAATAGAATTATTTTGTTGTTGCTGTTGTTTTGTTGTATGCCGCTTGATTTTAAGTACGAGCGGTGATGATGATGAACTATTGTTCATGTCATTTTCATTTGATATTTGAGATTGTTGGTGTTGTTGGGATTTCGATGACGTTATTGTAGTCGGACGTTGTTCTATGAGAAGATTCATCGTGTGATGATGATGACGAGGCGGCTCATGCTGTTGCCTTACTTGGTCTTTGTATGTGTATGTGTGTGTGTATGTTTGTTGGGTGGTCCTATAACCGGGCAGAGTGAGAGAGAGAACAATAACAAAAGCACAGCCACAGAGAGAGAGAGAGAAAGATGAAGAAGAAGAAAATAATGCACGTATTGGCAATTAAGGACGAGCTTGGATTAGAAGAAGACGAAGAAGAAGAAGAAAGTCATATTGTGGACTGCTGCTGCTGTTGCTGCTACGATTTATTCCCTTTCCTTCTTTTTTTCTGCTTTCTGTCGACGGGTCAGTCTATTTCACATTTGTGAAGAACAAAGAAAATATTAACATGACGAGAAGAATAAGAAAGGACCGTTTGTCGTTCTGCACACACACACATACTCTCTCTCTCTTCAGGGCTACATTTGCTTACAGAGAGTGATGATCGTCGTCGTGTCGGTTTTTTCTTTTCTTTTCTTTTCTTTTTTTCTTTTTCCTATTCTTTTTCGTCTCCAGAGGAATGAATGTGCCGATGTATAGAAGATATATTTTTCTTCTTCTTTCCTATCGTTCGTTCGTTCGATCTTGCCCGAAGAGAAAAAAAAGGAAAAAAGCAAAAAAAATGTGGGTTCTCTCACTCGTCTTTCTGATGTCTATCTTATATGTGCATACACTCGCATTTATGTTGTTGAAGGAGTTTCGGTCGGGCACACGTTCTTTGCTCGTTCGTTTGCTCGCTTTTTTCCTTTATGTTTATAGCTAACACGCAAATGGATTCGAGGTCTACATATGCCACTGCTCTTGCTCTCTTCCGCTTCTTCATCTACTCATTTCCATCTCGTCACCGTCATTGTCGACAAGGCGCATCGGATTATGACGGCAAATTCGTAACTATATACTAACTATGATAAGCTCATGTCCATATATATGTATATGACCAAAGAAACATTCAAAGTTCTCTATTCTTTTCTTCTTCTTTCTCTTTCTCTTTCTTTTTCTCTTTCTTTTCTTGAAGTGATTCTCAAAACGTATTGAAAGAAGCCTTGTTTTTAATTGACATCTCGATTTCTTTCATTTCAATGGTGCAACTTGGCCAATATCGAAAAAAAAAACTAAATCTGATACTGCTTCCAATCTTGTCGTTGTCACAATCAATGTATATATATATGTATATATAGGTACTATGTAAATATGTCTATTAGTCGCTGCAGCGACAGCTTGTATGCCGATAATGATGTTTTCGAAACTGTATGCTTGTATACATAAAGAGAAAGGAGAAGTGATAGTTTCTATTTATATAACCTTTTCTCTTAGACAAGCTATTTGACAGATGAACTTCACATCAATTTTGTTGTCCTCATAATCGTACTTGACAGTATGGAAGCAATATTATATATATATACGTATCGAATTGCCTGGTCTCTCATACAAATCGATGTATGATTTTAATGTGAATATATACGTGTGCGATGATTGTTTGTCACTATTCAATGTAACATTGATCATAATCGAAAAAAAAATGTGAAGAACGGAAATTGCATAATGTCAAGAAAATTTCCTATTATGTACAAGCACGCACACCTCATTGACAAAAGAGGTTGGATAATGCGATTGACTTGACTTGCTTGACAGAAGATTAGAACAAAAAAAAATAACTCTATCCACTTGTATTAACAATGATGTCATCAGCAACATTCAAAATATTAAAAAAAAATCTCTGATTCATCTTGATTCTTTTTTCTTCGTCATTCATATGAAAAGAAAATGATTTTAAGTGAGCCAATTGAAGGCTGCATGCACATTCCTCCTTGTCGTTAACATATACACATACATATATATTCCTTTTTTTCTTGTTTTTTCTTATTGTTTGCTTGATGATTATACAGAAATAATAATAGCAGTACTAGTAATAATAGCAAAGAAAGAAAGAAAGAAAGAAAGAATAAATTTACACAAAGGTTATAGGTTTCTTTCTTTGCGAACATAGAACATCCGACTAGAATAGATAAACTGAACGAAAGCATATATACAACAACAATAACAAGAACAACAAACAAAAAAAAGAGGAACCAATTTTTACTAGACATCAGAGCACCTTGTCACATATGTTATAAAGAGAAAAAAGAAGAAGAAGAAAAAAAGAACACACATACACGCAGACATAAGTAATTAAGTATCTGATCAAACACATAAGCTAGCGTGACGATTTAGATAAAGATGAAGGAGAAGAACAGGCAGATGGAAAACGGGGTGCTGTCAATGGATTAAAATAAAGTTGTGGAGGTATCGGTATATACGATGAAGGTGAAACAGCAGATGGAGATGATGATGATGTTGGTGATAGTTTATTTTTATTATTATTACTGTGCAATGATGATGTTGGTGAATGATGATGAGGATGAAATGGCGATAAACCAAATGGATTCGGTGGTCCATGTAAAAATGAAGGTGGCGGTGGAGGATAATAACCGGATGGATTAGCCGGTGGTGAAAAAAGCATTCCATTATTAAATGGATGTGGTGATAATAAAGAAGGTGGTGTTGATAATGTTTCTTTTGTTTTTGATTTTGATGTTTTAGTTGTAAATGATGATAAAAATGAAGGAGTTACTGATGATGATAAAGATTTTGATGGTGATGGTGTTTGAATAATTGAATTATAAGATGATGAGTTTTCTTCAATTTTGATTGTCGCTCTTGAATTAGATAAGTCAATAGGTATTGATGATGATGATAATTGTTGCTGTTGTTGTTGTTGTTGCTGCTGTGGTTGTGGTTGAGATTGTTCAATATTATTTGTTATTGATGGTAATATATTTTTATCTTGTATTAATGGTGGTGGACTTGATGATGTTGTACTTGCACCACTTGTTGTTGGACTAACACTTCGACTTGAACAATTATCACCTGTTTCATCATCAACACCATTTCTTACGAGAGTCTTTTCACCTGATATTGAATTTGTATCATCTTCATCATTAATACTTGTTGATGATGATGATGGTGCACCCAAATTATTATCAATAAGTTTTTCTGTTGTTAATATTTCATCTGTTCTTGTTGGTGGTGCTTCAGGTATTTTAAATGAATTTGTTTTTGTTGTTGCATTTGGGGTTACTGTTGTATATGTACCTCGACGTTTACCATTACGTAAAATTCTTTCAGCTGGTTCATTTGTTAATAAATCATTATTTGATTGTAAATGAACAGATGAATGTGATGATGTTGTCGATGTTAATAAATAATCACGATTATGATTATGATGATGATTATGACGATTATGTTTTGTTGCACGAACATCAGATTTATAACTTTAGTAAAAAAAAAAAAGAAAAATATCGATTATTTTTTATTTCATCTTTTTTCTTTTTCTTTTCATTTTTAAAGTGGTCTTTTCAAGTGAGACAAAGAGTGCGCTCGAGTAGGCTCTCATAGAACGTCCCATAAAGTGAGACTCTTGATGACATACATATTTCTTTTTTTTCTCTCTCTCTCTCTCTTCCTTCTATTATTGATTAAAAAGGAATTGCCTTTAAGGCAATACTCTTACCGTGGTGGAGCCCAATTTTGTTCAGTTGTATTAAGCAATGCACCAACATAAGTCTTGCCTAAAGCATATTACATTTAATGAAACTTAACAAAACAAAAGAAAGTATACACATACCACGCCAAGTGATATTAACAACAAGAACACCTATGAAAAAAAAATGACACATTTTAAAATGAAATTAAAATCAAATAAAAGAATTTTTTTATTTACCTTTATCTGTTTCATTCCATACAATACCTTGTAAAACTACACTTGTACCTGGTTCACATGAACCAAATGATGATTCATCAGTTACAGATGATTGATCCATAGTTTTAGAATGCATTTGATGATGATGATCATTATCATTATTTGATGATTCATCATTTGTAATTGTATCATTATTTGTTGATCGTTGTTTTTTCTTTGAAGAAAAAGAAAAAGAAAAAAAAAATGGATGAATGAATTAATTGACAGATTTACACATTTATTCTGTCTCTTTAAGATAAGTGTTGTATGACGATGAATAGCAGACAGACATAGGACAGGACAAGGAAAAGAAGAAATAAAGCAGCTGCGCACACATACACACATATATATATATAGAGCGAGCGTATGTATGTAGGAAAGAAAAGTAAATAGGGCGAATGCACACGCATACACGCACACATCAAGATATCATTATCCCTCGAGGATGCCGCATGCGTGAAAGAGAAATAGAGATTGAATTTCCTTTCTGTCTTTCGCGCTTCAATTGTATTCTATATAATATGTATTATATTTTTACCTTTTTCTTACTAACTGATGATTGTTGTTGTTGCTGCTGTTGTTTGTTAATATTATCATCAGTATTATTATTAGTATTATTATCATTTGTATTCATCATATCATCAACAATATTTAGTTTACGTTTACGTGATGATGATGATGATGATGATGATGTTTTCGTTGTTTTAACTTTAAATTCAACAGTTGTTGTGGTTGTGGTTGTAGTTAATAAAGTTGTATCATTTTCATTATCAATTGATGTTGATAATTGTTGTTTCATTGTTGTCATTGTATTATTACAATCGATAGATTTTTTTGGTATATGATTCTTTTTTTCATCAATTTTTTCTGATGATATTGTATTTGTATTCGTTAATAAATCCGTTTTACTATTTCTTGGAATAGTTAAACGTAAACGTTTTGTAGAATCTAATTGCGATGATGTTGTTGTTGTTGTTGTTTGTGATGGTGGTGAGGAGTTGATCATCATCATATTAGATAAGAAATAAATGTCATCTAAAAAATAGTGTAGACAAAACGTAAGCACAAAACACATGATAAGAGAGAAGAGAGAGAGAGAGAGAGAGAGAGACGCCTCTCAACACACACACACACAAAAGCAGCTGGACTTTTCATGCTGACTTGCATACACATATACACTGCAAATGATTGCCTTTGCTTTCTCTTCTCTCTCTCT